GGTTGGGCACCTCTCCCCTCTGTCATTGCCTTGCCCTGTGCTGGGGTCTTGGTTCTAGCCAGGCTGGGAAGCAAATGGTCCCTGCCTGCTGGGCCCTGAATTCAGCCAGGGCCTGGGGGTATGCACTGATTTGGGGATGCAGCCGGGTAGCAGCAGGGGATGAGGGGTGGCTGTACCCCCAGGGCTGTGTGGGGCCTTAGAAATAGCACCGCCTCCTCCTGTGAGGTAGGTACATATGAAACCCATCATACAGATGGGGAAACTGAGGCACAAGAGAGGAGAAGCAACTCAGCCCTGGACCAAAGGAAAGCCAGGGAAAGGACCAAGATGTACTGGTATGCTAGCTTCCCCCCACACCCTATCCCACTATTGCCCTGCTTGCTTCCCAGGGAAGGACCCAGGTGTCCAGGGCTCCCAGCCCCCACTCCACAATTCTACTGCCTTTTTAACCCAGACTAAGACAGGGAAAGTACACACTAGGGCTGCAATGCACTGCAAACAGAGGCAGATCAGAGATCCTCATCCTGTACCCCTCACCCCGCCCCTGCCTTCCCAGTGAGGAAGGGGGCTCGCTAGCAGGGGGGCAGGAGGAAGGAGACACCTGAACCACAGAAAAATCCCTTGGAGAACTGAATTCTCTTCCCCTCCCTGTCTCTGGCCTCTGTAGAGCAACCTGCCCCTTCCTGGTGTACCTGGGTGAGCCCAGGGGCTGGAAAAACCCCCATGAAAACTGTAGCTCCCCTGCTCCCCCAGTCCCTGACTCTGAGCACTGGAGAGATGGCAGTGAGCACCAGGTTCAGGATAAAGATACTGTGGTCAGAAAGCAGGAGACCCAGGAGAACCAGATCCTTGCCTGGTAGAAATCATATGCCCCCAGGGGGGATGGGGCACAGGTAGGGAACACAGGAGTCCTGTCACCAGGGAATACGTCTGTCCTGTGCTCCCCTGAAGGGAGGGGCTGGCTGTAGCTGCCATACCAAGGGTGGCTTCTCCTGGCCCTTCCTGCCTGGGCACAGGGGCTGCCCCATGGGAGGGAGGGGAGCAAGGATTGACAAGGACCCTACCTATACCCATGACAGCCATGCCCCCGGCCATGACCCGAGCTTGGACACAGCATGACCCATGCACCTACAAGGCCCAAGCCTGGGGAAACGCAAGGGGAGACATTTCTACCAGGGATCACCAGGTGGCCCCAATCTGGACAACCCACCTAGAATAAGAAGCGGGCATCACCTCAGCACAGCTGGGTTACTAAGGATATCCATGCACCTGGTGCTGGTGTGCCCGGTGCAGGTTGGGGACAGTAGCACAGAAATGCTGCGAGCATATTCATAGTTGGTAGGGTCGGAAGGGACCTTAGCAGATCATCAAGTCCGACCCCCTGCCGTGGCAGGAAAGGGTACTGGGTCAAATGACCGCAGTCAGGTGTTCACTTAGCCTTCTTTTAAATACTCCCAGGGTAGGAGCCAGCACCACTTCTCTTGGAAGTTGGTCTTTTTTGCTAGTTGAATAAAAGGACCACCCCCACCCTAGTAACTCCCCCCATCCCACCCCCAGACTCCACACAGGAGACTGCAAAGCCCACTCTGACCTATCTAAATTGCCCTGAGGGAAAGGCTCTGGCCCCATCTCCCCACCCCCGAGCCAGCCAGCACCCCATGGAGGGGAAACCCCTCCCCCCCCCCAAAAAAATTTCCAACAGCACCCTATGGGCATCCAGCCATTCAGCTGCTGTGCCCTCAGAGTTGCCTGTAGCATAAAAAAGTGTCCCGGTGAAACCAGATGCCTGGCAAAGATATGTATCAAAACACTCCAGCTGACCCAGGTCCCCCCACAACAGTCCTTCTGCCCCCCAATATGAATTCATCCCAAGACAAGAACCCCTGGAGTGCGGGGCGGGGATCAAAGAAAGACCCCCGAAACAAAGGTAGTATGAAATAACAAGGGAGATACAGGGGTGATACACACACACACACACACACACACACACACACACGGGGAATTGGACTGACGACTTGCCAACAGACTGGTGTTATATGGCTTGGCCTCAGGGCTCCAGTCTGGGGTGCAGCAGAGGGACTGTGTGGGTGTATTTGTGTTACCTAAAAAAACAGGTTGTGGGGCCCAGCCCCATATTAAAAATGGAGGCTCTGAGAGGCCAGTGAAGCAGAGGGGGAGCTGCTTCATGACTCTGGCCAGGGAAAAGGGGGCTCCACACCCCTCCAGAACTGGAGACACTGAGGGGAAACCAGAGGGGTGTGAAGGGGGCTGGGTGGTCTCCCCCTACCACACAGAACAGCACAGCAGTGGCCCAGCTGTTACCTGAGGCCCAGTCAGGCCGCCTCCTCGCTGGCTGCTGAGGCCAGGTCCAAGTCGATGGAGCCGTGGCTCACCACCAGCCGCAGGCGCTTGGCAGGGGGAAAAGGTTGAAAGGTCACCGTCCGCTTGGGGTCTCCGCTGGGAGCTGAGGCCTCCTCTGGCTCCGTCCTGCTCATGGCTGGCTGGGGAGGCTGCTCCGTCTTCTCCAGCCTCACATGAGCATACAAGGACAGCTTAGGGTCTGGCAGGGGATGGGGGTTGGCCCTTCCTGCTGCAGCAAGTGCCTCCAGGGGCCAAGCAGGACAGGAGGCCACAGCTTTTACCATGCTTCGAGTACGGCAGAGAAGCTGAGGGGCTAATGGGCAGTGCCCCACAACACCCCCAGGGGGTACCACATCCCTGCTGTGGGGCACAGCCCCTGGTGAAGCTTCCCCTGGGGTACTGCTAACTCCCAGCATGGGGGGACCAATCCCAGGGCCCTGCCCTCGGTCCTGGGAGGCCAGAACCCTCGTGTCCCCCAACTCCACACAGAAGACGCGAGTCAAGCTGGGAGTCTTTAGCCTTAGGAGGTCCAGTGATCCAAGAGAGGAGGGGATGGAAGGCTCTGTGCTGCTGGGAGGATGCTGGTAGAGGGCAGGGTGATGCTCTAGGGCTTCAGAGCTCTGTGCCACAGCGGTCTCAGGGGCAGAGGCACCAGGAAGGCAGCGTACCAGAGAGACAGCCAGCTCCTTCCTCAGCCGGCAGCCCCTGCCTATACCCCTGCAAGCAACGCAGTTGTGCAGAGGGATCCGCAGATGCCTGAGTGCTTGAAGCTGTGGGAAGCAAGGCAAGGAGGGTGTCCAGCCAGGCTGGAGCTGACAGGCACGGAGAGCTGCAAGGGAAACCAAAAAAGAGGCATCAATCACCAGCCCAGTGCTCAACCCAGCTGGGATGCAACTAGCTCCAGGGTCGGGTGCAGTAGGGATGCTGCTACACGTTCAAATGCAAACTGAATAGAAACCAACTATAGAGTTGTTTCACGTTTTCAAGCAGCTGCTTTATAGCTGGTCAGCTTTTTGTATAGCTGGAAAGTAACTGTTACCATGCAATAACAACTTTGCACATGTGGCTGGTCTAAATTTATTGCACAATTCACCAGTTAACTGTGTTAATATATGTAATGTGTAACAGGGGCCTAGGGAACTGCTCTGACAGGCACCCCTTGCCCCAGCGGGGATGCAGCCACCTCTGCAGTGCGACATACTGGGAGATTGTTCATAGTAGAACCCCTAGCCTGGCACTACAATGGAGCCACCCCTTGGGTGGGGCATATTTGACAGCTGGTTATACAGGGATTCTAACTCAGTGCTGGGTTGCAGCTATCCCTGGGGCTGAATGAAGCAGCTGTTTGACAATCAAATAGATTAGGACAGGGAGGGCTCATTGGGCCCAGCTCAGCCCCAGTGGGTGCTGCTCAGGGACAGGGTCATTCCCTGCTTTACCTGTGACAGGTTCAGGTGTGATGTCTCCTGTTGTGTCAGGGCTGACAGCTGTTTTACCAAGAGGTTAGACAATGGCTTTTTACAGGATGGTTTGAACAGGGCTGGTCCTGCCTCAGGCAGGTTAGACTAGATAACCTCCAGGGGTCCCTTCCAGCCCTGCTTCTCTGTGATTCTATGATACATTGGTCATGAACAAAGACGCAAAGAAGACTAGACTAGGGGTGTCAAATTAATCCAGGCCCATGGGGCTGCTGGCCTGGTCTGTGGGCTGGACCAGAACTGCCCCCCTTCAGCAGTGCCTTTGATGCTAGGTCCTGCCTGCACTGGCCCCAGGGCTGGCACCAGGCATGTGCTAACTACAGTGTGAAGACCAAGAACTGTAGATGGCACAGGGGACCCAAGGGCACACACTGTATGAGGTGCCCCACTAGACCAGCCCTGTGCACTGGCTGTGGGCACGGCCTGATCTGGACTGACCCTGGAGCCATGTAGCATGCACCCCAAACCAACCCCCTGTGCTTGATTGCATGGTGCTGGGGCTGGGTCCAGCCCACACACCCCATGCAGGATGTGGGGCCAGGGCTGACATATAGGGTTGGGGCAGTGACCCATAGGCTGGATCACACAGCTCCATGGGCCACACATGGCTCACAAGCCATATATTTGACACCCCTGAACTAGACTGAGGCCCCTGGCACACGTTACGCTTACGGTGCAATTAACTAGTTAACTGCGTCTTAGGTAGTGACCTGGCCATATGATAAACAAACTATAAAATCATCAATCAAAAAACATATCATAACTTCGTGGTTGATTCCTATCATGCCATTATGTGCATGTGTGGCCAGTCCAGGGCTCCCAGCCACAGGGAAGGCAACTGGGAGCCCCATAAGCTGATCCAGGCTCCCAGAGGTGGCCACATCATGTGCCCCAGAGGCCAGGAGCTGGCAGCTGTCTCACAAATGGTGTGGCCCTTTAGCCAGGAGCCTGAATCAGCTGATGGCTCCCAACCTCAACAGTACACAGTGTGCCCTTGTGGCTGGGAGCTCCATCAGCTGTGGGAGCTTGCTACTTGCTGGTGCAGGGTGAACCCGAGATCATGATCCCAGGCTTCCTTTGCACCACCAATGAGGTGCAATAGGACTTGATGCCATGCATGTGTGGCAGGAGGATTGTGGGATGCCACATCAAACCCCATTGTGCCTTTAACTGTAGGGGGCCTACAAACCAGCCAGGACTCAAGAATGGAGTTCTTTAGGACAGCCATGATGAAGTGAGAGCACCCCCTGGTGCCAGGCTGGGCACTGGCATGAGCACAGACACAGGCTGTTCCCCGCAGCAACCACCTGAGCCTCCCTTGGTTCCCCCATATGGAGCCTTACCGCGGAGGCGGTCCCTCCGGCGCCGGGCCCTACGCGCTGCCTTGGCACCAGGCTGCACCTTCTTGGAGACCCGGCCCTTCCAGCGCTGTAACCGTCCGTCCGTCTCACGGAGTTGGTATTTCTCTTGGGCTGAGGTAGCTTGAGAGGGGTCCTTCTGCTGCTGCCGGAAGGCGCCTTCCCCCTTCCTGTGGGAGCCAATGGAGAAAGAGTGAGAAGTAGAATGAGGGTCCCCAGGCCCCTCTGCTCTAACCCTGCTGGCCCACACTCCCTGCCCAGAGCTGCACTAGAACCCAGACATCCCAGCTCCCATGCTTTCATCCAGGGATGCTTGATCTCCAGCCCGCAAGCTGAATGTAGCCCATGGAGCCAAAGGTATCCAGCGTGCGGGCTCCCCAGGATTGGGAAACTTGATGGCAGGGGAGCTATGGCAATAAATATAGCCACCTTCCCCTGTTGCCTAATTCCCAAACCCTGAGCCCTGCACAGCATATTGGGGCTGGGTCATACCCCTTCTACCCACCTCTGCAGCTGGATGGGGCCAAGCCACACCCCTGTTCCTCCTGGAGTTGGGTTAAGCCCCCTCCCCCCACTGTGGGGAATTCCCCTTCCTCCCCCCTCTGGGACTAGGTGGGGCAGAGCTGGGCCATGCCCCCACCCAGCAAGAGGCTGGGCTACTATGTTCCCCCCTTTCCCTCCCCACTCATATGGCCAGGATGGAGCCAGGATGCCCCCTGCCCCACTCTGCATGGCCAGATGGGGCTCTGCCATGACTGCCCTGTGCTGGATCCAGACCAGATGGATCTGGCCCGCAAATGGCCTGGCCACTGCCCATCCAGCCTGCTGGCCAAAAACATTGCACACCACTGCTTTGATCAGACACCCTGCCCCCACACAGAGCTGGGATAGAACCCAGGAGTCCCAGCTCCCATGCTTTAACCCAGGGGTACTCAACCTCCAGCCCATAGGCCAAATGTAGCCCATGGAGCAATTAAACATAGCCTGTGGGACTCCACACGTGCTGAGGGAGCAGTGGCAATATCACCGCCTTCCCCTGCTGCCGAATTCCCAAGCTCTGCATGTTGTGTCAGAGCTAAGCCCCCTCCTCTCTGCACAGCCAGACTAGGGCTATGCCCCCTTTCTCCCAAGGGGCTGAGCTATGATCCCTGTCCCCACATAGCTGCATCAGAGCTAGGTCATACCTCCTATCTCCGCTGCAGGGCTGAGTTGGGACTAGGATAAGCCCCCTTCCCCCATGCAGCTGGATCAGGGCCAGGCTTCCCCCCCCACTCTCCTCCATGCAGCAGATGGGCCCCGTCATGCCCACCCTGGGCACTGGATCAAGACCACTGGCCAGATCCAGCCCAGGTGCTGTCCATCCAGACCACTGGGCAAAAACATTAAGCACCACTGCTTTAACCCAGACTCAACTCCCCCACCCTGAGCTGGGATAGAAGCCAGGAGTCCTGGCTCCTCCCAGGCTCTGCAGTCATCAGCAGGGTGCTCCTGGTGTCCAGAACATCCCAGCTCTTAGGCATCTGGGAGCTCCAAGCATGATCTGGGGGTTACTAAGCAGACAGAATGGAGCGTCTTCCCCCACATGCCCAGCCCAACCCTTGCCCTGTAACCCTGCCCATGCCCACCTCTCACAGGTGCAGCACTCGCACAGTTCATTGTTATCCCCAAAGAAACCATCACCGTAGAAACAAGTGATCTCATCCTGGGGCTCGATGTCCCGTAGCACCTTCACACAGGCCGTGTTTCCCTCAGTTGGGACAAACTGACAAGGGAGGAGAGAGATGGACACAAGCGTCACCAGGATGGCATGAGGCAGGCACTGGCCAAGGACTCCCCAACACACCGGGGGGGGGGGGGTGTGTGTGTGTGTGTGGCTGGGGGGGGGGATGATCCGCTTTCCCCAGCCCCTGGGACTGGGAAGAGATACCCCACAGCTCTGGGATATCAGTTAAATAGGCACCCACCCAATCTTCTCCTAGAGCTGGTTCACAGCACCTTCCCACCCTCCTCCGCACCCCCCGCCCCCAACCCACCAGATTCCTCTCCCAAAGCTGGGATAGGACCCAGGTGTCCTGGCTCTCAGCTCCCCTGATCTAACCCATCTGCCCCCACAGCAGAGCTGGACATACAGTCCAAGGTCACGTGACTTACCTTACAGTTTGGCCTGCAGTCTAGGAGGTTCCATAGGGGGATAACAGGGAGAAAGAGAGAAACAGACAAACAGACACCAGATAAGGAGGTCAGATGGCTGCTTCACCCCAGTGTCTGGGTGAGAACATCTACCAGTGGGATTGCTGAGGCATTCAGTAAGCTGGATGGTGCAGAGAAACAGGCCCAGCTACCTTGGAACAAAGCCCAGTGCTCTAAACCTCTTCTCCTCCAGGGGGTACTGGCCCTGATCCAGCCCCAGGATCAGGGAAGGGGAACAGTGGCTGAAGCAGGGGATGACGCTCCCACTTTCACACTGGTGCCCTGTGGAACCCTAGGGGTGGAGGGGGATAGAACCACAAAGACCCCAAGCCCCACTCAGCCCCCATGAGGGCATCTTCACACAGCAGAACAAGGAGCCTCTGTATGGGACTGTATCTCCAGAGTGATAATGGCAGGGAGCTACGGGTTGAGAGTGAGGGGCACCAGTACAGCTGGGGAGGGGGGCAAAGGCCAGGTGGGCAGGGGACTGTGGGTTGGGAGTGAAGAGCACCAGGCAGACTCTGCCCCACCCCCCGCACCATGGTTGATGAAGGCAGCAGGCCCCAGCCAGAGCTGGGCACAGCGCTTGCGCGTCGAGTACATGATGCTGAAGTCATTCTCGCCTGCACGCAGTAGGCTCTCATCCGGCTCTGTCAGTTCTGCAATGCAGCCCACCAACAGCTCCAGCTTGTCGTTCTTCCTCCTGAGGGGATGGCGAGGTGTCAGCCAGGACCCCCGGCCCAGGGCTTACTGTCCCTTCCCCGCTTCAGAAAAGAAGGGATGCCCCTCCTGGAGCGGGAAGGTAACTGATTCCTTGCTCAGCTCCAAAATGCAGCTGCCTTGGAGGTAAGGGGAAGGGGCTGATTCTACAGGAACCTCCCCACCCAGCACTGAGATGCAGCCACTTCTAAGGTGGGAGCAGGGGCTGTTGATACAGGGACCCCCTCCCCCTTTCCCATGGCTGGGATGATGTAGCCACCTCAGGGAGGGGAAGGAGGGGGGAGTTCAGGCCTGGAAGTGACTTGTCTAGACCGAAGGCCTCACCATGACTTGGTGGAGACCACGCGGGCCCCATTGGTCTCCAGGGAGTAGCGGCTGGCGGGCGGGGGTCGGGAGCCACC